ACGGCATTAAAATGAGGCGTGTGAGTGTTTCTTTATTAGAGGGTCGGCTCTTTTAAAGGCGAGTAAAAGAGCTGCGAAAGGTATTGCTGGGTATTTGATATCGTTCTGGTAACTTGATAACAATGTTCCCGGAAAATTCCATGCTGAAAAGGTTGATAATTAGCAGTTGAATTTGAAATTCTGGTTCATAAAAGAATCTGACGAATGGTCTGTGAATAATTACGTGTACACGCTATGATCGAGAGGAAAGACTAATGAGTCTAGTAGAGCTATTGTTTTCTTGCGAACATAATGAAATGTACGTTCAGAAAGTGGTCAGTTCACTCTTGCGTATCTATAGGATGTTTTCAGAACGAAGAATAAAATTAAATTTATTTCAAATATAGAATAAATCGAATTTGGAAATCTTCTGGACACAGATGATACACGTCTGATCACTTGATTTTATAAAAAACAATGTTATGCACAGGAAATATACGTTTATACCCTAAAAAAAACAAGCAAACATTGCTAGTAAGAAGAATTCGTGTTCAGAACTTTAAACGACAATATCTTGAAAGTAAAAACGTGTGACAGATGGCATTTTTCTCTACGACCACAGATATAGGTATACGTATTAAATAAATTTTGAAAATCTTTCTTGAATTTTTAAAATATTTAATTATTTCTTCTTACGAACAACTCTTCACCTATTGCTCGTCATAGCAACTATAAAAACGGTACAAAAAACAATTAACATTACCAGAAAAAATGTCTTCAATGTCTGAACGTTAAATTTCATTCGCCTCTCGATTCCCTCTCACGCTCTGCCCCCGTTCACGTATCTGATTTCACCTCGCGCAGCTCGTGTCCGCAACATGAATTTTTCTTATTCCACGAATCCAGTTGCACCAAGTAACAATCGCTGAACCAGCCCGGTACAACGTCGTAATTTCTATTACCGAACGAACGAAACAGAACCAGACCGTTTGAGCCGCGCGTCGTTCAAGGGTTCAATTACGATCCCTTATCTGCGTGATGCATTCCGTTGAAATTATATCCCGCGTGTAAATCAGAGAACCCACGGTCTCCCAGAGCTAGTTTCGCCTCGCGTGTCAGCGCGGAATACGTTCTCCGACGTTACGCCATTACTTCATCCCCCTTTTCGGTTCGAACTTCCCTTTTCGCGACACGACACGGGCCACTCCGTTGTTCCTTTGATTATTCGAGACTTTTTTTATTTTTTCTCCACTCCTTACTCTCTCTCCCTGGTCACCGTCTCTGCATGGACTCGAAATTTCACCGAGCCAGGGTCTACGATAGGCAGAGAGAGAGAGAGAGAGATGCTCAGAGAAGGTATCGCCGGCCGTGCTTTCGGCCAACTTGGAATCTAAGGGGCAGATCAAATAACTGAACGTACGTGCCGCGACTGGAAGGTACGAAATTTGGAGAATCACCAAAAGCGGAAGTGATTGCGGCGGACTCAGGAAGGAGGAACCCGTTTGTTTAAAATAGTTCCTGTTAGAGCCCGTAGCGGGTCACCTATTTGTGGTATTTTATGAAATGTATAGGTACCTTCGAGGCTGGATTGCGGAACAGGTATCGAAAGGAAGTTAGTAATTCTTCGGCTTTGAAAGTATCGAACAGGTCGAAGAAGTCGGGAGACTGTTGTCTGTATTGTCTAGGAATGAGTATTCTACGTCGTCTTTGTCGTGTGATATTTTCGTGCGAACACGTTGACTGCCACAGTGAAAAAGGACGTACGTAGTCAGACATATTTTACTTAATTTTTTTCCATCAGTCATTTCGACTATTTTGGTTCACAGTTCTTACAAACTAGACCCTTTATAAGTATACTAACGTTACCTAAAAGTTTGGATCCAAATTCAGGGACCTTTCGCGATAATATTCGTCAGATTCTGAACACCATAGGCTGCCACAGTGAAATAGGTCGTACGTAGTCAGACATACTTTATTTCATGTTCTTTCCAACAGTCATTTCGACTACTTTGGTTAACAGTTCCTAAAAACTGGATTCTTTATAAGCATACTAACGATACCTAAAAGTTTGGATCCAAATTCAGGGACCTTTCGCGATAATATTCGTCAGATTCTGAACACCATAGACAGCCACAGTGAAATAGGTCGTACGTAGTCAGACATACTTTATTTCATTTTCTTTCCAACAGTCATTTCGACTACTTTGGTTAACAGTTCCTTAAAACTATATTCTGTACAAGCATACTAACGTTTCCTGTTTGTCAGGAGCGAACGCGCGGAAGTCATGGATCCGTTGAAAATTTTTCCGGATTTCCTCGCACCCTCCACCCGGCCTCCCTCGAAGTCGTATTTAAATCGACTTTGCATCGGTACATGTGCCGTCGCGGCAGATACCGCGGCCGTAAATTCGAATTTGAATAAATTTGAATAAATGTACCGTGAGGAGCCGCGTAAAGAATATTTTTTCGTGTCGCTTCCTGCCCCCTCCCCAACCCCTCAGCCCGTTTATATCCGGACGTTCGACGGAGAGCCGACGATTCTCGCGATGGAAAGCCGGATAAACCGCACCTGTTTATATCCGAAGGTGCGAAGCGAGAGAAAGTAACCGGGAAAATTCATCTTTCGACGGTGTGAAAAATTTTTGTAAAATACTTCAGGACTTTATCCGTCAAATTCTGATGTATTGACAATCTCCCCGTAAGCGGGGGAGGGTCCCTGTCATGGAAATTCGATCAACGGGGTAGCTTTTTCAACAGATTCCCTCTCTCTTTCTCGCGAAATTTCTCTCTTCAGAGTGCTCGATCGGTCCTCGATTGATCGCCTCGCGTTTTTTTTTTTTTTTTCTTTTTTGTCCACACACAAAACGCTTACAGGTTTCCCATTCTCGTGGACCTCATATCGGCCCCATTAGATCGTCCCGTTCGAAAAATAACGAACGACCATGACCGTGGACAGAGCGAGAGAGGCCGCAATTGCTCGACGGTAAATTAATTTCACGACAACCGTCCGGCCAGCCGCGCTCGTTATCGGCTGCCAATCCCTTTGACGCGTTCCTTCGGAGTGCGCATATCGATACACCGTCTGGATATCGTCGAACGATTCCCGACAATTTCCCCGTGTACCTCGTAACAATTTCAATTTCTACCACCCCTCCGTCCTCCCACTGCCCCCGTCGAAATCCCATTTTCCCGAGGCATACAATGGGAAATTTTATCGAGCGCTCGTTCTCTGTTTCATGGTACCGTGTCGATTCTGCGCCAGTCTAGAGTGAAAGAGAGAAAGTCTCGTTTCGAGCTCTACCCCAATCGGCCTGCACGGTCGCCCGTTTTTCCCGCCGTTTCCACCCACTCTCGTGGGATTATGTTAATGGCGACTCTCTCATCTCAGCGATCGACGAAATCCTGGTTAATGGTGAATCGAGTGATTCATAGAACAGTGCTATACTGTTCACGGTCCTTTGGGACGTCTGGGGTCCTTTCTTTTTCCCATATTAAGGGAAAATTGTCGAATTTGGGCCATCGCCTAGGTTGGACCACTACTGTAACTTCTCGTGGGTGAGCAATTTTCGCTGTATGATAGATAATATACAGGGTGAACCACGAATCGTGATCTGTAGAGATTACTCTGTTATTAGCAGTCCGATCGAAAATCTTTTTATCAGGTATAGCATGGTTTCAAGAGAGCTTTAACGTTCAATTTTTTGCAAATACACTTATAATTTTTTTACGCCTATCTGTTAGAGGATTTCAAGACGAATTGAGAAATCATGAAAAAAAAAAGAGTTGACAAAAAATTTGCTAACCACCGACACAAATTCGGTAACCACCCCCTACGTTTCGATCGAGATTAACCGGTTAAATAGACAACCTTCGGTCAAATGATCTCGGTATCAATAGAAACATAACTTCCGTTCACAATGCATGGTTCAAATTGTCCCATGGGTCCCCGTGTCGCGAATCGAAGGTTAATGGGGTTCAACGGGGGAAAACAATAGGGGTGGACAATGTTGCCGCAGAGTGCAGGACCGGCGGCGTTCTCGGAATTATTACTCACGTGAACTATTTGCATTAACGGCGGATCAAAGAAGGCCTGGGGCCAGCTTGACTTCCCAGAGTACGTCCTACACGGTATTCCACGAACGTTAACCGTGATTGTGCCTCGACGACCATACATAATAGCGTGACGCGTTACTATTGCGCGGGAAGTTCTCCCTTAATCAAGTACTTATTAGAATTACCTGTGTCTACGGCGTTCTCTCTGGGTAACCGGCAAGCTTTCCTCCTCCTCCAGTCCACTCGAGTCGCGGAAGTTTTGATGTCTGCCAGCCGAGCAGGCGCCGACTAACCTCGTTCGAACGTGAAGCACGAAGAGTTTCCATATTCATCCGAACTCGCGCTGTGACTTTGAAGAGAAGCTTGCTGTTCCGTCGCTGTAATTTCTTGTTAAAAGAGAACTGATTTTGCACCCAGTCTTCAACGATAGATTCCCCTTGAAACAGTTTGTCGCTTGTGTTTTGTTCTTCAAGTCTGGCGATTTAGTAAATTCGTGGGATATAAACTTTATTTTATTACTAGAAAATCTAATATCTGGGATAGAGGTTCCAGTTATTGTCACCTTAAGATTGCAGCGTACCTTCATTTAATTATTTTACGTGTTGTTTAACCTGAACATCGTTTCACAAGGGAATGCACGGAAGTGTCCCCCTCCGATTTTGAGGAAACTTCGTATGTCTGTTAAGCAGTCAAAAATAAGGGATACGTATTTTTTTTTATCGGCTCAGATGCGATTTTAAGGGGTGAAACTACCCCTTGAAGCTTCGACCCGAAAGTACTATCTCGAAAACCAGAGAAGATACATGAAAACTACTAATGGACGAGGTTTGCGGTTTTTTATGTAAATAAAATTATATATTGTCGAAAATATAATTTGTTTACAACAAACAAATTTCGAATCAAGTATTACTGCAGTGACATTTTTCGAGGTAATTCGACTAATGGTGTTTTTGTTTTATTTTGTTCCAGGTGGATCCAGCCTGGCGAGCGTGGTCGCCGGAAGCAAGCCGACAAAACCTTTGAATAAACCCGACTTCGACGATATCGCACCGCGAAATGTCACCGCCATCGTCGGGCAACCAACGCAATTGAATTGCTTCGTGAAGCATCCCGGGGACAGAGTGGTGAGTAATGCCCCGAGCAGTTTCTTATGTTTCTGAAAGAAATTTCGGATCGATACAGATTTGAGAAATTCTGGGACGTTTCGCGATAATATTCCTAGGATCTTGAACACCATCGACTTATCTGTCGATCAATGTATAACCATATGGGCCAAAAACCATTTCTAATTTTCCTCGTACAATAAATCCTTGATAAGTGTTCGAAGGCTCCTCGGCACCGAACGTTAAATATTTCATAAACTAATTGCCATGTGGGACTGAAACAAATATCATTGGCCTCAGAATTCCAAGCTCTGTCGTTGTGCTAAACTTCATTAAAGTCAGCGTTACACCTGGGGACCTCTCACTGCCGATTAGCCTTCGAGGACTCATCGAAGATTTACTGTAGTTTGCGATGTAGAATCCATCCAATGAAAATGTACCACGTATTTATTAACAACCTGTAGCCAGACGTGAATAACTTTCAACCAAGTCTGGCACCGAATACACACTCCTGTCGATTGAAAGCCGAATAATCTCGCGCGATTGAACGGCTCACGGTTATTATTATTTTTGCCGAATTGTGTATCAGGGATTATCCTGGCTAATTCGGTTCGACGGAAAAGTATTTGTCCCGAACTGCGGCGCATTAACGAGCTCGAATAAATGATTTCTGGCTGAACGGTGGTGTCCGCCGTTTCGGAACGGTTAAAGCCGGACACAAGCGGGCGAAATAATCGTATAATTATGTGCACTCGGGTATTAGCATACGCGCAAAACCGTATCAATATGCATAATGGCTAGTTTTCGGTGGAGGGGATGGGAAGGCAATGCGAGTGGGTAATGTTTACTTATCGTTGCGTGCTCGCGTATTGTCGCGGCGGATACGCGTGAAATATTAATGGAACGCGAATTAACGGGGAACGAGGAGAACAGGTGGACGCGAATCGAGTTGGGCTAATTCATTTTTCATTCACAGGAAACTCTCACGCTCACCCACGGTGCAGCTTGTAGTCGAGCGCGTCCGATGAATGAATGATACATCTCTGAGATAATCGCGAGATAGTTGAAGTTTGAATTTATTCCAGTGTATCGACGAGGGCAACTTCACTTGTTATCCTCTTACCAATGGAAGAAAGTAGGAATTTAACCCATCAAAATGACGGATTTCAGATTTTTGTATTTGATGCGCGGAATTAACCACTGCTCCTTGGTAAATTAATACCGCGGAGCTCGTTTGAAAATGATTTGATGGTGATTGTTATTATGTGTTTTAAATGATTGACACAACTTACAAGGGAAGGCATGAAAGTGTTCCCCTTCGATTTTTATGAAACTTCGTATGTCTGTTAAGCAGTCAAAAATAAGGGATACGTATTTTTTTTTATCGGCTGAGACGCGACTTTAAGGGGTGAAACCACCCCTCGAAGTTTCGACCCGAAAATACTATCTCGAAAACCAGAGATACATGAAAACTTCTAATGGATGAGGTTCGCGGTTTTTTATGTAGAATAATATGGTGCTAACAAATTGTCCAAAACATAATTTGTTCATAACAAAAAATTTGTCAGATCGAAAATTCGAGGATTCACCCTTTAAAATCGCGTCTGAAACAAAATTTGAAATTCCGCAAGTATCTATAGCCCACTACTAACTCCATCATTTCCAAGGAGTCCTCACAGTGTACACATCCTTCTCGCGCACTCGACCACGAAAGAAATTCCAACAATGAAACCCCAGTAAGAAGAAAAATACCCGTGTGATCGATAGCGCAGTGGCCAAGAGTGGAGTTGGTTCACGGTAAGTCCCGACAGACAGTCACGAAATACCGTCTCGGGGCGGGTATCACGTGTCCAAGTTGAGTCTACTTTAACGCGTCAGTGAACGTCTACCGGCAAGAAAGACAGTCCTTAAATCTCTTCCCGAATCCCCCGTTTCACCCTCGAATTCGCCGGAATTCCCTGAGAGTACATAGTGTGTGCAACCCCCTCCACGTATGTACGTATCGACGAACGTTTGTGTGTATGTGTGACTGTCGTTGGTCTGTTGGTCGCGCGAGGGCTGCCTTTAATTGCCAGATAGGAGTCTCGAGGAACGGAAGAAGGAAGTGATGGAGGCTAGAGCCAGCCAGGATTGTCGAAAGGGGGGTGGCCAAGGGGTGACCCTCGTCGTTCTGCCGGCAAATGAACCGATCAGGCATACTCGGCCAAGTGGTTACACCGGGTATCGGGTCAGACCCCGACCTCCCACCCTACCAACACACTTTGTTCTGTGTACACACACATGGGACGAAGGGTAGACCACGTGCACATGGCACAAACGTGCCGGGGAATATGTAGACTCACGGAGATGCGAATGCATCGACGAGCCGTGGACAGCTGACAAAGATCAAAGGATAAATGTTGGTGACCGAGGACTGGTGGAAATGAACTGGCTGGTTCTATGCTTTGGGGACGCTTTCGGGATGTTTGCTCGGTGAAAATCTGTTATCGTAATCGTCGTTCGGCGATATCGACTAACCCGTGGGAGAGATTTTAACGAAACCTGGAAAATCTTCTTTACGATCTTGTAGATTCAGGTATGGTTCAGGGAACGTGGCTGAATTTGGACCATTGCTTGTAACTTCACTAAAACGATGCTATTAAATTAGTATTAATAAAACTGGGGTGGGATGTTTATATTTATGCAAAGAATTTTTATCAATTTAATTGCACCGTTTTATAGAGCATAAACAACCATTCAATATTTATTATAACTATTTTTGTATAATCTACGATAGTTTTAAAGATATACAGGGAAATATTGAAACACCTATCTACCTTCAAAGGATGCTTTCACCCTAAAGAACTGAAATTGGGCCAAACATCTGCAAAGTTTTAAAAAAATCGGAATTACCGAATTTCCTTTGTTAGTACATATACCTACAGGCTAGTATAAAAAAAATAATAAACAAAATTTGACCCACTTCTCAAAAAGGTTCGCCATCACTGACTTAAGCGATGGTTTCAATTCGGCAACTTTCCCCTAATATTTAATCAACAATAAATTACGAGATACAGTATCGCAAAGAGAGGCTACTTTGTTTTTTCTAGATGTTGCGCAAAACCGGGACTCACGTTACAGAAACATGTAATTTAACACTCGGGCGCAGAGGCTTCTTCTGCTGTGTACGCGTGTTGCCCACAGAGGTTTTACACACTCTCTGGGTTTCTTTGCCCTTCTAACTCTTTGACTCTTAACCACGCTCTTGCATCCCTCTTTCGCGAGTCCTCGTTAGCTCATCAACGGAATCCCGGCCCCGGCATTCACAAACACACCGTGCACGCGCGCTAGTTACCAAAAATACCGCGAAGGTTCTTGGTGGAAATTCTGGTTCATTAGAGGGTCTTCCGGATAGGAAGTGTGATTGAAACGTTTGCCCATAGAAAAGTTCGAGGCCGTTGGTAAAGACGAGAGACCGCGACATGCCAGTCAGTTTTAATTTCACCGAGAGAGTTCTGAGGAGGAAAACTGGGATATTCTACATTGAATAGAGACGAATTAAACCGTCCTGTACGTGTAGAAATTGTGAAACGTGAACTTTCTATTTGTGATTTCATCAATGGGATAGAATATAAAGAACCGAGGTGGCAGTAGGAAATAATTCAATGGACGATTTTTATACCATTTCGATGGGGAATCGAACAAGAATACCACCGCGATCTTCGTATTTCTTATTCAACCTCTACACGTTTTATTTATTCATCGTTCGTATCCCGTGCTCAGAGAGTGTTCGTAACACAGCAAATACTAAAGAAGAATCCATTCGTCCGTTATTAGGGGAATGCATTAGCCTGAATAATGCAGAAGCTTTGATGCGCTGACGTATGGCCTTCTTAAAATTCCGCTAGGAAAACTGTTGCGCTGCACTAGATCACTGTTCCACCCTCTCTCTACGAAGAAAAATATACGTCGGTTGCATCTCGTTTGCCCAGAGGGTGGAGTGCCACGCGCAACACACACCGAGACCAACGGTGTACCGGAAGTGATCTGTTTAATCGTGCCCTTCCCATCGCGTGTACCCGACGGAAATAGTTCAAACGGCTTAGGCTTAACCGTGCTACCCCGGACATTGGCATACGCTCCGCGGAAGGAATTCGAAATGCACGTACCGAGGATTACCATTCAATTATTCCATTCAGCCTCTTCGGGACGTGCAATTAATCCTTTGATCTTCCCTCCATGTTAAGTGAACCTAATGTTCCCCATCGAAACGCTTCATTTTCACTGTGAATTCCATTTCATTGAAGGATCCTTTTGGTTTCATTATTTATTAAATACTTCCCACCAATCGTAGTTTAGTTAAGACTCCACAGTTTTCGACTTCTAATGTTTGTGAATACTATAAGATACATTTTCATACGTAACGATGCAACGCTTTGACGTCCACTTTGATACCCAACGGTGGTACCATACGAGGATACGCAACAAGTGGATACGCACCTTAAGAGAACTCTGTCGTAAGCACAAAACTATCAGAACTGAAGTGGAACTTTTCTTAATTAATCCTCCAGAAGGGATACAATCGTCCATGAATAAAGACTCCACAATTTTCCTCCTCTATTGCATACCTAAACCATAAGAGAACCCTATATCAGGCAGAAAACGGTAAAAATCAAGTGACACCGTGAATCGACCTTCACCATGTCCTATTTCCCCACAAACCCAGTGAAATCGATCGATGGAAAGGCAAAAATTTCGCAGCATGACAAAATTCCCCGAGCATCAGACAAAAGTATCGATCGTCTGCCATCAAAAAATTAAAAAAAAGAAAAGCCAGAGTTTCTGAATCGGGCCCGTGAATAAAAAGCAAGAGATGGGGAACGGCGGCAATATTCGAAGCATTGCAGGTACGCGACGCCGGTCCGCGTCTGCTCGGTAACTCCGATAATTGATTTAACGGCGGATCAGGAACGTAATACATATAACCGGTTCGTGAGCCGCCGCCCCGGCCTGTAGAGAGGTGGGATCCGTTTAAACTTAGT